AAAAAAATAGAAATTTCTCTTGATGATGCTTAGTCATTACATGCTTGCAAGGGAGTAGAAAGAAGTAATACTTATCTAGTTCTACCCCTAGTGATCCAAACTAAGGTTGACACAACCCAAATATTTAACTAAACAACTACACCGGTTAAATTCCAGCAACCACCATATTACTACAGTCCTTCTAATCACAAATCACAATTACATAATTAGCAAACAAATGATAAACAATAAATTATTCATAATAATTACCGACACCGATAATAACTTAATAAGATCATTACACTTCCTGTATCCGATACCCAGCTATGCAGGCCTTTTTATATTTATTCTTAAATTGTTTTACACTTGTACATTGTTTTAAATCATCACCCAATCTATTCCATAATTTTACACCACTCACAGATATACAAAAACTTTTCCTAGTTGTACGTATGGCCTGAGTTTTTAAATTTAAGTGGCCCCTCAATCCATAACCACCCTCTCGATCACCAAACAGACCCCGAATACCACTTGGCACCAAATTATATCTGACTTTATACATAAATACAGCAGATTTATATTTTACTAAATCAAAAAAATTTTAAAATCCTGAATGTGCAAATGATGAATTCATACAATCCCTATAACCAAGTCCATGAACAATTCTAATGGCCCTTTTCTGTAGTTTGAATAATGACCATAATGCGCTTTTGTATGTATTTCCCCAACACTCAACACAGTAGTCCAAATAAGGTACAAACATAGAACAGTAAAGAGTATGGAGTGACTTCTGATCCACAATATTTTTAACTCTTGCCAATATAGATATACTTTTAGCCAATTTATTATGTATATATTTAATATGAGGTTTCCAACAGATTTTATCATCAATATTTATGCCTAGAAATTTTGTTTCGTAAACTCTTTCTATATTGGCATCCCCCACCCTTACTTGAATCTGACGATTTAATCTTCCATATCCAAACAGCATGAATTTTGTTTTGTCCAGATTTAGTGATAACTTATTCCTGTCACACCATTTCTTCACCTTGTCCAATTCCACAGTAATCAGACCCAAAAGTTGCTGTAGGTCTTCCCCAGAGGCCCATATAGTAGTATCATCAGCAAATAGTACAAAGTTCAATAATTCAGAAACATTGCATATATCGTTAATATACAGTATGAAAAGTTTAGGACCCAAAACTGACCCCTGTGGGACTCCACATACTCTATCCAGAAAATCTGATTGGTGCTCGCCCAGACTTACAAATTGCCGTCTGTTGGTCAAGTAACTTTTTATCCATTTCAACACCAAACAGCTAATACCAAACCTTTCTAATTTATCAAATAAAATTTCAAAGTTAATAGTATCAAAAGCCTTTTGAAAATCAATAAAAATCCCCAATGTTTGTTTCTTGTTGTCCCAGGCACTAGTAACACCTTCTACAAATTCAGTTATTGCAAGCGCTGTGGATCTATTAGATCTGAAACCATATTGCTTCTCAGTTAAAATTTTATGTTTGTCCAAGAATTTATCTAATCTAGCATCAAAAAGTTTTTCTAAGATTTTAGAGAATTGCGATAATAAAGAAATAGGTCTATAATTTGTAATATTATGTCTATCTCCAGATTTATAAAGCGGAATAACCTTTGCTATTTTCATACTATTAGGAAATTTTCCTGATTGAAAGGACAAATTAAAAATATAAGTTAGTGGTTTAGAACAACCATCAATTACCGATTTAATAATAGACATGCTTATTCCATCACTGT